ATGAAAACATAATTTTTAAAAAAAGCATATGCATTACAGTACCTGATTTATAAATACTCAGTGTGGGCCACACTGGTCGGCATGCTTCAGCTTGTATGTTCACTCACCTTTGCTGTCCCTGCACCTAACCATTCACACATGTTCCAACTCTATGGTAATACCTCATCTACTCAAACCTCTTCCTAAACACTTTTAAGACAAGTACATTTTCCCCCAGAACACCAATGTTTCCAAAGATAGAATATATACATCTTTACTGTCTTCAAACATGTGTTTCATGATGAAAACTAATCCTAATGATTAACTCTGGGGTTCTTAAAATGGATTAGGGTATCTGGGTCTTGGGGTCTAAATTAAGTGGTCCTGGCAGCTGCACTTCAGGGGTTCTGTCTTTATAGCCAGTTCTTCTTTCCTTTGTTGGCTGCCACTTCTTCCCAGAGCTCTGGACTCTTAAAGCAGTAACTATCTGCTTCTAAACTGCTCCTGGGGCTGACTATGTAGTTTGGGCAAGCAGACAGGAATGTTGGTATAAGAATGGATTTAAACAAAAGACTAGACTGTTGGTGGATGAGGTGGGGGAAGGGATTTACACAGTGCTCTGAGGACTCTCGGCCAGGTTGGCTATCTGGACAATTATGAGTTATATTTTGAGTTAACCAGATCACTGCACAAGTAAGATAATGTGCTGAAGCAAGCACTGGCGTTCACTTTCTTTCTATTTAGAGGTGAAGTTGCCAAGTGCATTCATACACTGCTATTTTCTGAGACATGTGAATTTGTTTGCAGTTTGTTGAAATATATATTAAATAGTAGTCATCATCAAAAGACAAAGCCAACTTCAACAAATGCAGAAAATGTATACTGACTTTTTGCTTGAAGCATGTCCACTAGCTTATATCAATGTATAGAGAAAAATTCTTAATACAGCTAGCTGCTATAGGAAACATGAAACAGGCCTCACAAAACCTAGAGAGTGTGACAGTGATGGCCCACTAAAAGGATGCCCTTGGTGGGGAAACGGGTTCATTCATTTAAATTAACTGGTTTAGAACTTACTCAGCTTTGCAGATATTAAAAGCTGCTGCAGACCTGCAGTTTTCTAACTTTTTCCTTTCAAAGCAGTTTCATATTTCATAACAACTTTTCTACATTAGCAGATTATAAACATCTATGTTCGGCTAATAAACCTAGATTTCCCCTGGGCACATAAATTCTGATAAACCTTACAAAAAAAAAAAAAAAAAAAGAAAGGCAAAGAGAAAGAAAAAGAGATCTATCATTTATGTGCATAATATTTTCTTCAGGATAAAGATACACCACACGACATGTTAGTTGGCATGCCTTTAATAGGGCTATTCTAATTATATCCTGCCCTAACTTACCTGTGAGTTACAGAAAGGAAAACTCAGTTCTGGATTGACACTGTGTGCCCTGGAAGGCCTGCAGGTGGGTAACCTCTCCTGACAGTTACTGTGCTATTTTCAGAAATTATAAGTTTTAGACATTAAAATAGCAAAGAGCAAAATTGGATAAAATATAACCAGATTCCCTGCTATTTTGGGCTGCCTCTCCTGATGTCCCCTTCAATTTGAATGGATAAGAGAAAACATGAATTGGTCAAATAAATTTATATGGCCTTTTAAAAAGTTATTATTGTAAAAATTCTTGGCAACATTTTTTTTTTTTAATGGAAAGACAACCATCTAAATCAAAGCTCTTCATTTTCAAGTATCCCCAGCCCCAGTCTCAGGCTAAGCACTGTTTCCCAGCATCTGTTCAGGTGCACACTTTGCTGTTCAGCTTTGCTTCCTTTTTGCAATAGTGTTTAAGAGAAAACCAAGTGACCAGTTGCTACCTACATAAAAGCTTTAGGATGTGATTAAAAAAATGAACCAGTCTCACTGGAGCAGCATGTTTATTTAACCTGTTGACTTTCCTAGTCTGGGCTTAGGCAGGAACTAGCCTGGCTGTGGTGAAGGGGGTAGGTGACAGAGGGAACACACCTGACCCCCTGAGACTAGGAACACTCACTACCTCTGGAATGACAAGCATTTTAGCACTTAGCAGTGGGCACATCTATCACTTCACTGACCACTGTAACCTGGGATGAAATCGCAGGAAGCTGCGCCAGCTGAAGCACAGCAGTTCCATTTCTGAGCTCACTCAGCATCCTGAACCCACCACTGAAATGCTGAGTTTTCCTTCTTCAAGGACATCAAGGGAAAAAATTCACATTGCAAGCATAGCCAGGGAGAGATGAATATGAGGACATTCACTCAAGCCCAGGCCTACGTTTATTTTACTCTCCCGTCTCTGGTATTATGGAAAGTTTCAATCATATAGTAAAATACACAGAAGAACAAACCCCCACAAAGCTGTCATTCAGGTTCCATAATTGTCAACACATGGCCCAGCTTACTTCATGTACCGTATCCACTCTTTCTTGGAATTTTTTTTTTTTAAAGCAGTTTCCAGACAAGCGACGTTTTATTTTATGTAAGCTTTCATTTACAATACACATGTATATTTTTCTAAAAATCACTCCAGAAATCTTACTGCACATGAGATGTTTGAATCAATTTTAACCACATCTTGTAAAACATTTTATACTCAAACCCATCTATCTGCAAAACTGATTTGCCTGACTGTAATTGGGTAATTAAAATGACAAAGTAGCGTGAAATACACAGTATTATTTTATGTATGGTAAGGGGAAAAACACACTATAAATGGGGAAGATAGTACATGCTCATGTCTTCCTATGGCTCTAGTCTTTGTGAACACCACAATCAACAATGAAGTAAAAGTAGTTTGGTTAAGATTTGCATGCACGGAGCTTAGAAAAATGGGAGGAGGTTACTAAGGGGCCCTGCAGTTGCCTACACCCGCCTTCCCCTTCTCTACAAACATATAGAATAAAAGACAGACCAACTTGTAAAGGCTCAAAGTCACTCATGCAGCGGGCTAGCGCCTCATAATAATTTACTACCGATCTGAGTGCAGAGATCAAAAGGAATGCCATCTAGCATTTCTACTCATTTCTTCACTGCCAATGACTAATCTGTAGGGGAGAAGTCCTCACAAGAAGAAGCCAAAATCTTCTGGGTGACTCTGATACAGTGCCAAAAAGGATATGAAGAGAAAGCCAGTAGGAGCTACAGATGGGTAGGCTCTATTAAGAGTTCTAGTAAAAGAATAAAGGAATTTCTCTCATCTGTGAATTTTAAAAGTGATAAAAGTAGGAAAAATTCAGACAACTCAAGCAAAATTTGTCAAAGCTTTTGAAAATTTGTTGTTAAATGCTAACTTTAGTTGTTAGTGGACTTATGCTAATTAAATGGTCTCATGCAGGGCAGACAACACTCCTCACAGCAGCTTGGCCAGTCTTTGCCAGACTTGGGCCAATGATGTCACATGACTATTATGTCACTGGTTCCCAGTCCCTTTCAAATGAATCCCTCCTTTCAGCAAAGTAACTGACTGAGGTTGGAAAAAATTACCATGAAATGATAGTTTTTAGTATCACACATCTCCACAAAGCATAAATACTGCTGTTAACATTTTCTGGAACTAAACTCAATTAGTCCCATGTTACACACTAGAAACTCTAAGTTCTTTGAAGCTCCATCAACTATTGGCACATTCATTTTGTCTCTTGAACCTAGATATCGCTCTATGCTCAATGAGGAATGGGATTTTCACATTACTTAGTTTTGCTGGTTGAAAACTTCCCACCATGTCTGCCAGCAAGTTCATAGGTAAAGACTCACATTTATAGTAGAATTTTAACTGTGTGGTTTTTTTTGTTTGTTTGTTTGCTTGTTTGCTTCTGAAATCACCTCAAATTAACAAATTTATTGGAACATTTCATGGCATAGAGATTTCATACAAACCTCATAAAACCTGTGATGTGTTTCACCATGTGGAGTGTTAGGAGTTCTAATATTGGCCTCCAGCACATGATTTTTGAGCTTAAAAAGTACATTTATTTTAGGTGTATGGGCATTTTGCCTGCATGCATGTTTGCACATCACCTGTGGGCAATGGCGAGATGAGGACTCTGGACGTCCTGGGATAGGAGAAATAAATGGCTGTGAGTCACTATGTGTGCACAGGGAATTAGACCAGAGTCTTCTAGAAGAGGAACCAATAATACTCTTAACCTCTGAGACATCTCTCCAATCCCAGATTTCTGTACTTTTTAAAGGAGTCCATGTCTTTGATAAATATGTAGGGATATGCTTATAGGTAAAAATACACATGGAAGTTCTTCAAGTGCACGGGGTAGAAAGTGTGGGCATAAACTATACAGGAAGGGCTGTGGGCTTTACTGAGCAGTAGGAGGGAGCACAGGAGGCCTTACATCTTGGTCTTCCACCTTGTTAGTCTTGGTAAAGGCATTTCAGATGTCAGGCTGTGTGCTGCTTCTTGTACATATTATTTGTCCTAGCATAGTAAGTATCAGAAGAACAGAGACTCAAGATTTGATAGCAAAGGTTTGACTTGTCTCTACCAATTCCTGGTTAACATATCATAGCCTTTCAAAAGAAAACATTGATCAACTAAAATAGTAACCACTACCTCCATCAAGAGAACACCCACACTTTCAACACTTCATGAATAATGTATAGCTGAACTTGGTTTGGTTTGAGGCAGAGCTGGGGAGTGAGTCAGGGGCCTCATGCATGTTGGGTAGGAGCTTCCACAGAACAACAGCTCCAGCCCCCCTGTAACTACATTCCAACATGAAAAAACTGCAAGCAATTCAGTTCAAAAACAGAAATTTTCTATTCAATTTATAAGACATTTCAAAAACAGAAATATAAGTATGATTGGTAATATATTTCAAAATCATGACATACTCATGAAACCTGTGCTATCCATTTAGGAAGATCTAGGCCTGGGTGGCGTCACAGCTAAGCACTCCCACTACATGTTTAGAACAGGGATTGCAACTGAACACTATAATCCCAAACATACTAATCACATGCTTCTCTTACCTTGTGATCATATGGATTGTAGGAATGAAACACCCGAGAAAGACCTTTTGTCCTTTGTTTTTTCTGTAGAAGAAAGACCACAAATATTTCAGTTGATGGGTAGCAAAAAATATATGCCTATATCTTTTTCTATCTGCCTATAGATATAGATATAGCTTGGCGCAAGCAGACATCAGTCAACTGATAGTTATATAGCTCAACTGTCATGTAGCAGGCAGGCTACCTCTTCCTAGAACAAAGGTTCTCAACCTTCCTAATGTTGCAACCCTTCAATACAGTTCTTCATGTTGCGGTGGCCCTAACCATAAAGTTATTTCATTGCTACCTCAAAAATACAATTTTGCTACTGTTATGCATCATAATGTAAGTATTTTTGAAGACAGAGTATTGCCAAAGGAGTCACAGCCAATAGGTTGACAACTGCGGTTATAGAAGGTTTTGTAGTTAAAGCTCACTACCATCTCAAACCGTTTCTAAGAACACACTTAGAAACTACAGTGAGGAGAAAGGAATCTCAGTACATTTTTATGGGATGTTTTCAACTCCGTTTTAATGCCACCAACTGATCCTCAAACATTACCATTGACTTGAGTGACATTGCTGTACCAGGTTGCCTGGAACATCTTGAGTTTGTCTGCTTGAGCCTGCAGCTGGGGGTGGGAGGGCACCTTCATAACCAAACTATTCTACAGCCTGGAACCCAGCATGATGTATCCTACACACAGTATGTACTCAACAAATAATGGATTAATGAATCAATGACATACTTGAGGCAGAGAAGCATGTAACTATCATAAGCCTCACAGGCAGCTGTGAAGAGACAAGGTCCTTCATTTCTAATGAGGCGCTCTTCTCAAGCTAAACCTGGACTCTACGCAAGACTTCTCAAGCTTGCTCCCCAGGCTGTGACAAGGATAAATATGAGGTTCTTTTATCACAGTCAACTTGAAAAGAGGCTTATTTGCTTGCCACTATATGCTTGTATGAATGAGTCCATATCAATTTTGTGCACAAGCGTGTGCACATGGAACTCACATACACAGATGGGGTTATTACTGTCAGAGGTGGAAGGCTATTTGACACTAGTGACATCTGCTTTCTAGTTCATACTTCCTCATTGCCAAACTTCCTTGCATGTGTACACAGACTCTCTTTCACTCATAGGCGCCCTGAAACTCCAAAGCTTTAGAAATCCAAATCTTTCTGGCAAATCATTTTTTTTTTGTTTGATTATTTTATGAGACAAGGTATCACTACATACCCAAGGGTAGCATATAACTTACTATCCTACTGTTCCAGCCTCATGAGTGCTGGGATTGAAGGTGTACTCCATTACACCAGGCTAACACATCAAGTTTTGCTACAAGGGCAATCTTTGCATAAACATTTCTATAAGCCTGAAAGTTTATATCATTTTAAGAAATACATTGGGCATGTCTAGTTTCAGGATCAAATTGTATGCATGCTTATAACCATGATATGGCTATATTGCATGCCCCCCCAGTGCTGTTCCTTCTTTGCACCAGGATTGAAGGAGGGGTCACAACTTCAGAAAGGCACTCTGCAGATGTTTTCTTCTCCATCTAGGTTAGATTTTTTTCTAAACTTACATAACTATGTATGTGTCTTGTAGAGTAGACACACAATACTTTCTCTGCTTACTGAAGATTCATGATATTTATCTCTTTTCATCATGGAATCAACCTCTGCTATATCTTAAAATTCTGTCATGCAAGTGACCCATAATGTCTGTGATATCCAACTAATAAGCAACAGGAGTGCTTGCGTTTGAATAAACCCTTGCTGATTATCCATGAGGCCTAGGGAGATATTTGCTACCTACTCCAGAATCTTCATGTTATATGTTCACCACACACTTCCTTACTGCCAGGATCTGACTTGGGTCTGATCATAATTATGGTTGCATATGAAAGTCATTTATACACTCTCATAGTTGTGAAATGGAACAGCTCTGTAGGAAAATTATTTTGAGAGGAAGAATTCCATAGGTATCATTTCCAATCAGTTGGCCTTGTTTGTCACATTCTGATGCCCACTGATCGACATTTTCCTGCTGAAGTTCCTGCCTCTTCTGCTCCCTCTCAAGCAATGCTTCCAATATAACCCCCATTTTCTTTCTGCACAGCAGAGATATGTCTTTAAGGAAATGGAAAACAGTTCCCTTGGTTAATGAAACGTTTGTCCTATGAGCCTCAGAGTCTATTTTGAACCGTCGTTGTCCACCAAAGTTTTCATTAGCTTATGATTTTCTCTTTCCTTCCTTTACACCTACTTACTTGGTGGAATGGTTCTTGGCTACACTTCAGTCAAAAGAAAAAAAAAGAGAAAGAAATACCAACACTTCCTTTAGTGGGAGACTTGATGTAACACACTGAGGCATTTTTTTTCCTCTGAAAGGAAATTATGCTAGTGAAGATAAGATGGGAAACACACCAACAATCAACTTAGGAAGTGCCCGAAGGCTGAGCAGCCTCACAGATGGGCCTTTTACCAGCAGGAGCTGGCAGCCGAGTAAGAAATGGCAAGGGTTGTTTTATGTGGCTTTTTAATGTGAGTTTGGATAGCCCAAACTCACGTGCGCCTTTTAACTTGATTTTTATTTCTTTTTATTTTATTGTGTGTGTGTGGGTGACTAGGACTTAATGCAAGTTAAACATAAATACTTCCACTGAGTTGCACTCTCCCTCCAACCCCAGCCTACACAACTTCTGTCATAAACTAATTCAAGTGATTTGGGAAAGAAAGGAGATAAAGGTAATTAAATAATGGTATTTAGATCCCCTCAAAGAGGGGAAAAACCCAGGAAAGAAATAGAACTCTACTTCTGACAACCAACTAATTATGCATACATTTAGTAGAGTCCTGGCTATGGACATAAAAATAAATGCATCAACAGTGCTATTTGCATGTCAGAGATATTCCTCCCTTGAAGTCAGTTATATACCCAATGGTGCATTTCTGGAATGCAGAGCAAAGGGTGGTAAGTTATGGTCATAGGCCAATCTAGGCTAACTCTTGTTCTCATACGTAAGTTTTGTCGAGACCTGGGGAGATAGTTCAGTTGGCAAAGTGCTTGCCATGAAAGCCTGAGGACCTCAGTCCAGTTCCTAGAGATCACATAAGAGGCCAGACAAAATGGCACATGCTTGTAATGCTGGCTCTGTTGAGGTGCAAATAAGCATATTCTTGAAGTTTCCTGACCAAGCAGACTAGCCTAATCCTCAAGCTCCAAGCCAATGAGAGAGAAGGTCTCAAAATACAAGATGACTCCTAAGGAATGGCTTCTGAGGTTTGTCTGTGGCCTACACACACATAACCCCACATATACGGTCAGATTCTCTTACACATATAGTCAAATAAATAAAGTTTTATTGAAACATAGCCATACTCATTCATTTGTGAGTGCTTTCATGCTCCAAAAGCAGAGCTGAGTGGTCCCAACCGAGAATGAGTCCTACAAACCATAAGGTATTTACTATCTGGCTCTTTGCAGAAAAAAGTCAGTCACTTGGGTTTAGTGTCTTTGTCCCTAACATACCAGTTAGGCACCCCCTGGACTGAAAACCAAGTAAACAGCTTTCCAGAAAGATGCCCTGCTCGCCTGTATCCTGATGCTTAACAATAAGCCAGTGAGGGACAACAACCAGCTCGCTCTTTCTCTCTCTCTCTCTCTCTCTCTCTCTCTCTCTCTCTCTCTCTCTCTCTCTCTCCCCCCCTCTCTCTCTCTCTCTCTCTCTCTCTCTCTCTCTCTCACTTTTTATGACTTGATCTTCCAGAGCATTCTATAGGAAGTTAGAGAATACTGCCAGTCAGGTTCTGGAGCAGGCTGAAATAGATCTGGGGTTTTCATAGCTTTTCTAGATCTATCCTGTGACTTTAGATCACAGAAACTTCAAGAAGAAATCTTTGACTAAGTGTTGGGCCTGAAGCCTCAAGTGTTGTACATAGGAATGATGAAGATGTGGCCGTCATTTGTAGCGAGCATGCTTCTCAAACAGGCAAGAGTTACTGAGCTTTGCTCTCAGCAGCTTTAATCGAGACCAAAAGCTGAGCCCCAAGTAGAATAATTAGGCATTTTCCTATTGCATCAGAGCACATGTCTAATGATCTCCCGCTTTTCAGCCTGTTCAAATAAACATCCCAGTCCTGCAGCCACCTGCAAATCCTCGAAGCATTTAAAATGTAAACACATAGAACATGCCATGAGATAGACGTGTAACCGGGGTGGCCTGGCAAACGTTTCTCTCAGAATCTTGCAAGGTACTATCAAGTGATCTTCATCATCAGGCCCCATGCATGGAGGGCAGAACTAGAGAATGCTGGGCTCTGCTGTCTACCAGGCTGTGGGGGCTTTTAAAACCAGGCAGTGTACAAGTTTGTCAGAACATCTACATTGTATCCCTTTTCTTCCACTTCTTTTCATTAAGGCCTCACAGCCATTGTTTGTTTAATTTACTAAGTAATGGTTTATTTTTATAAAGGAGCTGCGCATCCACACCTTCCCTTTTACCTCCCTTACCTACTGAATTAGGATTCTCTCCCTAAGGTCAGAAACACCTCTATATTTATGTGCAACTCCTTTAGAACAAACAAACAAACAAACAAACAAACAAACAAAGCTTAAGCCCTGCTTTTGCACAGAGCAGGTTGCCAATGTTGTAACAATTTCAAGTTCTATCAAGAGCATACAACTGGGTAGTGATGTGGCACACATTTAGTCCCAGCACTCAGGAGGCAGAGGCCAGTGACCTCTGTGAGTTTGACAGGCCAGCCTAGCCTGGTCTACAGAGCTTGTTCCAGGGCAGCCAAGGCTACACAAAGAAACCCTGTCTTGAAAATGAAAAATAAATAAATAAAATAAATAAACAGAGTACGTAACAGAACACACATTGTGAAGCTCCCCATGGACAGGGGACATGCTTCACATGAGTTTGTCCAACGCTCTTGCTTCTCTTTTCTACTGTTAAGTCAAACTGTCTCAGTATCTTACTCTACATGCCAACTTCTTGAATAAACCTGCTATAAGAACACAGGACTTCACT